GTCGTTGCGGCGGAGGAGGGGTAATGGTCTGGGGTGGATTTTCGTCGGCTGGCCTGACTGAGTTAGCGTTCCTCAATGGCAACCAAAACTCTTCGGACTACGTTAATACTCTAGGAGACTATATGTTTCCCTTTGCTCATCAGCATTATGCTGATGACTTCATTTTTATGCAGGATGGAGCCTCAATTCACTCGTCCAAGTACACGATGGCGTTTCTCCAAGATCACAACGTCAAGATTTTCGACCATCCATCACTCTCACCGGACCTCAATCCAATTGAGAATCTGTGGGGAATCATGGCTCGCCATGTTTATGCAAATGGAAGGCAATATCAAACAGTTGCAGAGCTCAAGACAGCCATTAAACGCGTTTGGGCCAGCATCGAGATGGACACCCTCAAAAACCTCATTCGATCAATGCCACGTCGTTGCTTGGCTGTGTGCGAAGCCAAAGGGGGCAAAACTGACTACTGAAAGTCATAATTGCATGAAATACATTCACTTCATATGAAAATTGTGTTTGTTTCTATTCTACTGGCGCGACACAAAATGTCGAATTTTACGAATAAGATACTTTCTCGTACGGTCGTGCCGTCCTATGTGCCTTGCTAGCAATTTCATGGCTACTGTAGCATCAAGGATGCCAAAAAAACCTTGCTTGTGCTATGACAGCGCAAAAATCAATCAAAGTGCTCTGTTTCTATCCATGTGGCGCGCACTGTAGAACTCCCGCTCCGCATGCGAATGATGCAAGGTTCAATCCCCTGTGACGTTTCATTTTATACCAGAATTGCAAGAGTGAGCCATGAATGGAATTTCTGTTATCATTGTTTGAAGTTTACATGTTGCACAACCAGGTTGCTGCTACTCAACACACAATGGCTGAACGAAATACGACCACAAGTATGGCAGGATTGGTTTTGGTCCCATCATTGCTTTGGTCGTTGTAAAGCCGGAATTGGCTCTTGTCACGTGTGTGCGTAACGTTCGTTGAGGGATGCCATATGCTATGGCAGCGGATGGAATGGTGTGTTGCTTCTTGATCACGTCGCTCACTGCGGCTGCAATCTCGTCGGGTGTGTACAGGGTACTTGGTGGCATTATTCAAGGTTGACACACTTGATGCCTCTGATTTCTAATTTTTATTCCCACCATAAAATTATGAGGGGTTTAGTTGTTGGAGTAACGAATTTTATCCAATCACAAGATTCTTGCGATTCTATTGGGTGAAAGAGCTCGGCTGATCACTGAGAGTTCGGCCGATCACTGAGAGCCGATGTTAATTGTGTTCAGCATGTCTGGAGGAATATAAATTTATACGTCATTTCTTGTAGTTGTAATAATTGCGCCAGATATACTCAAGTTTACTAAGCTGAAATTCGGCTGATCACTGAGAGACTACGTTATTGTAGGTATGGGCTGACTCTGACCCTTGTTTAAGTAATGGGGAGATATGTAAACTTGACGGTATCCAAAAATGCTGCCCTCTGATTGGCTGTAAACTCAACAATCAATTAAATTCCCTTATACAAGAATATATTTAGACAAGCCGTTTCGTCCTAATGAAATCATAACATATTGAACGGGAGAAGTGCAAACCACGACGTGGTGTAATGTGGGCACGATGGTCGAAGTAGATGTACTGGTATACGAAGAGCTGACTGTGAAGTTGGGTGCACAAAGTTGAGCGGATTTTTGCATACTTCAAAAAAATATTCTTTTAGCTGAGGTACTGATTAAGGTAGACTCAACCATGTTCCCACTGACCCAAACTCTTGTGGGGGTTTTGATCGGCCCAAGCTCCGAGAGTAGAATTCGCAGGCAATCAATCGACCATGAAGCCCGTCGGTCGGTTTTACTACGACATCATCTCGCCGTTCGCGCACCTCTTTTTGAAGATGCGCGCTCCGTTGGAGAAGAAGATGTCTCTCACGCCGGTTCCCATATTCCTGCCTGGTTTGCTGCGGTCCCAGAAAAACATCGGTCCGGCCGAAGTGGACGTCAAACGGGCATACTCGTACGCAAGCGCGGTGTGGAGAGCCAACAAGTTGGGCATCCCCCTGAAATTCCCACCTCGCCACCCGTTCGCCCCAGTCGCCGCACAGCGTCTGCTCCTGTCCTTGAATGCCGATATGGACACCGTAGAACGCGCCTTTGAGTTTGTCTGGGCGCAAGGTAACGATCCTGACGCTCAATGGGGCGACTTTTGTGCTGCCCTGGGTTTACCTCGAACGACGCTCAAGCCTCAAGACGAAACCATCAAGCAAGCTCTGATTCAAAACACGACGGACGCTGCCGCCGCCGGAGTGTTTGGCGTGCCAACTGTCGAAGTGGATGGACATGTTTTCTGGGGCTGTGACCATATCGATTGGCTTCACGATTACCTTGACAATCCAGACATGTTCACAGACCCTGCTTATAGCCGTACGCTGGCCACCGAAAACCCTCTCAAGAAGTCCAACCCTTGATCCCATGTTGATCCCATGGACCCATTTCATCACAGCGCCATGTCAATTCATGATAAGATGCTTAGTATGACCGTTCTTTGGCGTACGGAGTAATGAGTACTTACAAGGCAAAGTTGCGGTGGCATCACCATGAGAGCAGCGAAAGCAGGAGTGCCGACAGTGACGTGCAAGCGTGGAGGGGTCTACGGAAGCTTTGGCTGTGCCGGGTCGAATGTAAGGTTGGGCACAGTTTGCTTGGGCTCTACAGCTCAGCTTACACTATCAGCTGGTAGTTATGCCATGAGCTGGCGGATATCCTGCGCTCTCGGATCAATGAGCATCAACCAGGTCTGCCGTTGACGAAGAAGCGTCAGTTGATTAATTGTAAATTACACATTCGGATGTCTTATCCGGATGTCCTTCCATGTAACATGCATACTCTCCAACAGCGAAATTTTGAATTTGGTTTAAAAATTCAACCCAAGCAGCGTAAGCACCTTCTTGGACACTTCGACGCCAAGGAAGCATGCAGCGTTCGCAGGGAAAGCGCGAGCCATGGCCGGCCCCACGCCCTTAAAAAGAGCGCCATAGCCCTCCGCGGCCACGAGCTTCTTGTACGCCTCGGCAATACCCGAGAGGCCGGCAGCATACGTGCCCTCCGGAGCGGCTTGGATGCGCGACTTAATCACATCAGGAGGGATTGCGACGACCCAGTTGATAACGCCAGCCATCCCGCCAGCCACAAACGTGCGGAACGCGTTCAGTTCTTCCGGTGATTGCCCCGCGGGAGTTAAGAATCGCTTGACACCCTCGTAGCCCGCAAAGTACCCCACAGAACTAAACATCACATAACCTCATCAATTACAATGGCCACGTCACCCTAGTCAGCGATTTATCCAACGTACCCAGGAACATCACGAAGCAGGGTTGCTTCCCAGCCAGTGAAGACGCTGCGAAGCCCACCAGTCTTGTACAAGTGCTTGGCACAGTCGCTCATGCCATTAAACTGCACGGGTTCACCGCGGGCGACGGCCTGCGATTGGATCTATGTCCGGTAGGTGTCAGCACAGCCCTCAAGAAACCACAACTCCTTGTACCTGGAGGAGACACTTGATCCGCTCACCAGGAGCCATGACCAACGTGGTGGGAATGGCCGAAAACCCACCGGCAAACATGATTTGATTCATCGAGAGTTTGTCCGAGTCGGACATTCCCGCCGCTTTGCGCTGACAGCGGACCCTTCAACGCAAGGAACACCCAGGGCGGGAACGACTTACCGCAATCAGCGCGCCCATGTCATACCCCCAGAAGCAAATGGCAAAGATGGGCGTCACGCCCACCAGCGGTGCAGACATGCCGCGGTAAAGACCCTTGACGCCGTCCTTGGCTACAATTTTACGGGCACAATCCACGGCGCTCGTGTACAATGGCGCTTCTCCGGCCTTGGGCGTCGGCATCGTTTGCATGTTCACTTTAATTAAGTCGAGGGGGTGTCCCGCAGCAACCAAGCACATGCCTGCATGGACAACGTCAGCGACAAAGACACACATCCGAGGAGGTTGTCGTACCACCGAACCCTCCAGACAGGAACGACTTCAACGGGGTGCTTCCTGCAAAACACACAGAAAGGCATCATCAGCATGGGGACAAATGTGTCTACGGGTGGCGCGCGCATACCTTGCGCAACGTCGTGCTTGTCTTCGCCTGCCATGCTTCTCGGAGATCAGAAAATGGCGGCGAGGAAATCCTTGTACGTTGACTATACAGCACAAGTGTGAGGTCGACTCGCATCCGGATACGATTCTCGATATCCGGTATCGTGACAGTGAACCGAAACAGGGAAACATGGGCGACGGACATATACTTGAAAATTGTATGCTCTGGGTTGGATGCGGTTTCGTACAAAGATCGTCAGGCGCCGTGTCGGCGCACGAATGCCGCCACGTGCGATGGAAACCATGCGACGTACTTGACAATGACTTCCTGGGTTTGTAAAAGTGACAGAGACGTCCGTACGCGATGCCCATGCGCTTGCAGCAGTGTGCACAAGGCGCAGCTCGCGTCGACCGCTTCTCCCGCTGATAACGCGCAGGAGGGTCTGATGAATGATTGGTTGGTCTGTGCCATTCCGAAGCACATTTGGGGGGGGGGTGGAGTTGGCATCAGCTCGTCGTATCAAAGTAGATGACGTTTGATATAACGGTAGCGTGGCTGTGAAACCGTTCAAGATTCAACGCCCCCGCATGCTGCATGGTCCGAGCAAAGAAAGGTTTGAGCAGCGCCGCGACGAGCAACCGCCCCAAGACACCGAATGCGCCAACACCGGCTGTGCTGTTGCCAGAAACGTCGGCAGCGCATGCGGCGAAGAATGCCGAAAACATGATTGAATTCCTCCATCGGACCTTTGACCGCGACGGGTTCTGGGCTCCGTCTGCGGATTTGGCAGTGTACTTGAGGCAGCCTTTGCTTAGTCTTCACTCGATGGGCCGGGATGAAATCAATGCGATTTGGTCGACGGCACTCGTCCTTATCTATTGCATGGCCCATCTCTTCGACTACCATCAGTACTGGATGAAGGTGGCTGATGCCGCACGGGCATGGCTGTTCCGACAGCCATTCTTCGATGTTGCGTACGTGGATTTGGTCAAGCGCGGATGCGTGCTTCTCAACGCCGACCCAAAAGCCATGCTTGCGTCGGTGTTTTCAAAAGATGGCAGTGCGAACGTGGACGACCTCCTCGAGCCACGACAATGTGGAAACTGGGTCGAACTGTACCTGGACACGCCGCCGTACTCGAAATATTATTGGAACAAGGTCACGAACGAAACGAGATGGGATCACCCGAGCAACCCCCCGGCCATAGCCCAACCTACTCCGGCCGAACGCGACGCACAGCTTCGCACCCAGGCTCTCGCCACCGCCAAAGCCGAACGGCTCGCCATGGTCCTCCCCATGCGAATAACCATCCATCGCAAGCCATACATTCCACCAAAGCCTGAGGTACGTATCCACCCAGTCTGAATGCATCGATAAGTCGGGAAGGACTGAGTGATTCGATCTAGCCATGCGAGTCGTGTGTCTCGGACCCCAAGACGGCAAGCGTGTTCTGCCAAGCCTGCGATTTATACCTGTGCGATGGATGTTGCGACGCCATGCACCTTCATCCGAAACGAGCCAACCATTCCGAGACATCGTTTCGCTTTGCAGTTTGTGTTGGGTACATGGGTTTCCCTTACATCCGACACAAGAAGAACTGATGCCATGGGGACGTCCGACTGCATCCCACGAAAAACGGACCAAGTTGTGGGTCTCACCCAACGTCACAGTGCTATGTGCTGTGCAATCCAGTTGTACATGTCGTTTCACGATCGTGACTCGATGATGAGCCCAGTGCCTGCAGGAGGCGGACGCACAGTGTTTCCGAACATTACATTGAAGGGAGGCAATCCTGTCTTGAAAACACGTAGAGATGCCTGGTCTGGATTCTCTTTGGACCACCGATCTCGACGTGAAACCAGTCCACTGTTGCTGTGTCTGGCGTTGAGGTGTCTGGCTAACATGGCCAGCAATTTGCGCCTCATGCGCCAGCAGCGACCGTCGTCGGTGACAACGCGAGAGCGCTGGTGGCAATGCGCCGATATTGGTGGAGCCAATCCGCGATGAGGTCTCGAAATATAAAAAAATGAATACAAAATTAGAGATACTCCATATTGTATGTATTATATTTTCACGTGTGGGAGAACTCCATTCGAATCCCGTGACCATGTTCGGCTCAACAGCAACTTCATTCGGCGCTCCGGCGGCCACAACAGCACCAGCGACGGGGTTCTCGTTTGGACAGACGCCCAGCACGCCAGCTTCTAATCCTCCGACTGGTGGATTTTCTTTTGGTGGCGCCGCGACGACTCCTGCCGCTGCACCAACAACGGGCGGCGGCAACGCGTTCTCTTTCGGAAGCACCACTCCCGCACAGCCGGCCAATTCGACAGTGAGTGGGTTCTCATTTGGCGGGTCCGCTCCTGCGTCCACCGCGGCCACCGGAACTAGCACCACACCAGGTTTCTCCTTTGGCGGCAGCAGCACTCCCGCTGCAACTGCTGGTTCAACCACAACAGCTCCGTTTTCGTTCGGGGGTAGCACCACACCAGCTGCGCCTGCAACTGGCACATCCACGGGCTTTTCGTTTGGTGGAAGTACGAACCCTGCCGCAACGACTACGACCACGGCGACTCCATTTTCGTTCGGGGGCAGCACGGGAGCTCCAGCGACAGGTGCATCCACCGGCTTCTCTTTCGGTGGAGCAAGCACAACCCCAGCTGCGCCGAGTGCATTTTCCTTTGGGTCTTCCTCTGGCTTTGGCAACACTGCCAACAACAAACCGACCACATCTGCCTTTGGCTTTCCTGCGGCTACGACGACCTCGAATCCTGCGAACGCATCTATGAATGCTGCTGCGTTCGCCGCCGCCAACTCGCCGCTCGACAGCTTAAACGGGGTGCGCATGGCATACACGGACCCGTTCCAGTCTCGCTTCAAGCACATGTTCTACAACGCCGTCGACCCCTCGCAGAAGCACTTGTACAGTCGCCCACCCCACGTTGGCGAGAAGCTGTGGATTCAGGCACAGCGTGATAACCCCGATCCGGCCAACCTGGTCCCGGCTGCCGTCGTCGGCTTCAAGGAGCTCTCGACGCGGATTCAGCTGCAGCAGGCGCACATCAAGAAGTTTCACGGCTATGCCAAGGTACATTGGAGTGACGTGTTTGGTCGCGGCGGAAACATTCATCTATCGTAGGATTTGGTTGTGCAAGTTCAAGAGATGGAAAAGGCATCGCGCAACACAGATGTCAAGCTCACGCAGTGCCGGCAGCAGCACATCGCGCTCTTCCATCGACTTGTCCAGGTGAGAGTGCCACTTGGACTCGCCCTTGACCCTCATGGACTGTGTGGTGCTTGTAGCTCATGCGCAAGCTGGAGCTGTTCAAGCAACTTCGAAAGCCTCTCCACGCGAATGAACACCACTTGGCGTACGTACTGCTCATTCGCCATCATATTTCATGGACAGGGTTGCGGAGTACGCCATGTCTGTGTCGAGATGGCCAGTCCCTCGTTGCTCACGTTGCTCTGCTTGTTCTAGAGCAACATTGAAACACGTGCAGAGCTTGCTGGACAACCCGACGCAATTCAAGGCGCACATGCACGAACTCATGACGCTGCAGTCCCTTCAAGCAGCGCTACCAACGCAACAACGACCAGATGCCCCCCTCACAGAGGAGGATTTGGCCACAGTCTTCCGGGTAAAGCAGTTCCCGTGATGCCTGACTGCACTTGCAGTGATACTGACCTCGGCGATGGCATGGCTAGGTGCTCGACAAGCAGCGAGAAGGCCTCGAACACCTGACCCGAATCTTGAACCAAGACATGCGAGACGTTCAAATCATGAAGAAAGCACTGGAAGACGACAGTGCGTGAACACAGACGAACTAGTGGTCCCGAATGAGCGCAGTCGGTAGATGATTCATAGGTGTATTAGTACACAAACGTCCACCTTCTATCTACAACAGATCGACGCATGACAGTCACATTACCAACCCGTCCATGGTTTATCCTTCTGTGCACACAATCAAGGGCACCAGGAGAGCGAGCAACGCATCCTGCGTCGATTGCGGCCGCTTGAATACTTAGTGGTGGTAAGGATCAGTGGGGCCCCACGTTTCAACGATGATGGGGGATTCCTCAAATTGATGGAGAGGAGGGGGCGACGACAACGTCCATTCGAGGGTTTCGCTCAATTCAGGAATCACAACATCAGGGTCGGTCGACTTGCCCGCGGCTTCCGACGTGAAGGCACGTGCAGCCAAAGGGCGGGCCACAGCAGAGCGGGTGGAGGCTACACATGAACAACCCCGTCAATGGCCATTGTCTATTTCTCAACGACTTGGACGCCTCTGCACGTACCAAGAGTGCGGAGTGCGGCGACGCGAAGCATGGTCCAAAGTCAATTCTGTTCTGTGCACCCTTCATTTGGCCCCATCCAATGGTTGCATACTTTTTTACAGTCAGCTGAATCCATACAAATTTCAAGTACACGGTGCGTTTCCCTATCCCCGAATCCGGATATGATCGGGAGGATCGACCGCGGAACATCCGGATACTGTATCCGACACGGTCGAATTCCACGTCGATTCGATCGATGGAACGAGAGGTCGACGTCGTTGTTCGCCGTGCTACATGTCCAGTTCCATGAGAGTCCAGCATGCCCCGACGTGTACTATAATGCATGGTGTAGTGCATGTGGACTTGCTGACTTCTCCAAACCCAATTGAGCATGGGAAGTCCACTTGGTATGTGCCGTGCAGTTCATCCTCAAGTGTGCCATTGAGACGCGAAGGTGGTGGTGGGTGGGTCGAAAGGAGCACTAGGGTCTTCGACTAGTATAATTTGAGGGGGCATGCACGTATCACGTGCTGAGCGATCGAGCAAGTGACGGCGGGTGCTGACGAAACATTCCCGACGCGGCAGCTACAGCGTGACCTGGTCCATGTCGTTGCCTGTCACGAACAAGAATGTGGGCGAAGTGTGCATTACGTTGTGGGTGGCATGGTCTATAGGTTATTCCGCTTAGAACCGCGTCGGTTTCTTGTTGGATGTGTTGTTGGACGTGGCGGCCTTGCGCTTGAGGTTCTCGACAATGGCGTTGACTTCTGCCGTGGCGGGTGCGGCATCGGTCAAAGTCGTCCCCACATCGGTCGGTGCGCCTTTGGCCAGTTTTCGCCTCGTTTCAAAGATCGCTTCCGTTGCCTACCAAGACGATTTCAGCATCATGGTAGACCCCACATCATGTCGTCATCTCGCGGAGTACCTCCGTCCGCTTGAATCGCGAGTCCGTCGGGTCCAAGCTAAAGTCTGGGTTGTTGGACACGAGCTGGGAGAATCGGTTGTCTTCTGGGTTAAAGGCAAACCCTTCCTGGAGACCCGTCGCATGGGCCTTGAGCTTGTCGATTTGTTTCTTGTGGTGCTTGCCCTTTTTGTCTTTGTGCTTCTCGAGCTTGGCAATGAACTTCATGTCAAAGTCGCGCTTGTCTTCGTCATCGTCTTCGTCAGCAGCACCAGCCCTGGCGACCCTGTCTTTCCCTTTGCCCTTCTTGGCCTGCTTCATTGATGCCAGCTGCGCCTCGTGGGCGAGCTTGGCGGCCTGTCGTTTGTCGTGCTTCTTGATATTCTTCTCGTGCTTCTTCTCGCGCTGGTACTTTTCAAACGGCGTTTCATTCGCCTCCATCTCTCGAAGCTGCTTGGCTTTGAGCACGTCCGTCGCATCGTTGAACGTCATCTCCATGTCGCCTTGTTCGCCGTCGCCGAATGGGTCGTCGTCCTCCGCCTTGTTGGCTTTCTTGTCCTTGTTTCCCTTCTTTTTCTTGCGCTTCTTCATGTCGTCCGCGCTGTCGTCGTCGCTCCCGAGAAGTGCTTTGCGATACTTTTGCTTGAGCGCTTCAACATCGTCGTCGGACGCGCCGTCGTTGTCGTCATCCGACATGGCCACGTACGCAGAAAAGTCGTCATCGTTGAGGTCCTTCCAGTTAGCCGGCCGCGTCAGCTTGTCCATGCGCTCGCCGTCTTCCTCGTCCCATGTGCATTCCAGCTCGGTGTTTTGCAGCGCGAGTGTGGCAAATATCGCAGGCGTATACGTATCTGGCACGGACGTCGCCGTCTCCTTCGGTGAGTTTGTAAACTCGACGTCGTCTGGTACAAAACGCAAGTCCAACGTGTTGCTCGACGTCTCGTACTCGAGGCCATCGCACGCGTCGAACACAGCCGACGCCGCCGCGACCGAGTTGAACGTGGCGACGGCGTAGTAGTACTTGAGCTTTTCCAATTCGTGCTGGCGAAGTTTCTCCTTGTCGAACCTACACATCCATCGGTTGTAACGTGGAGAGTATGTCCAAGGCATCCTAGTCGACCGGACCAGCACCCAAATCACGCCCAGCACGACTCGCACTCGAGTCCTGTGCGTGAAGATGGATGTCGGTCTCTATGCCACATATATGGCAGAAAGCGCACTCACACACACACTCGATGGATGCCCTTCCGCCACATGAAGGACACACATCATGGTAGAACGACATCGAATCGATCGCTCCAAACAACGCCAGGCCAGTTCCAAGCACGACACAAGACGATGGCAACGTACCCATCGTCGGCATCGGCCGTCGCGCGGACCCCCAATGGATCGTCATCGTCTTCGGAAGCATCATCCGTGTCAGAGCCGCTGCCTCCATCCTCCGTCGTCTTCTTTTCATCCGCCCAGAGTCCCCGTGGGCCATACTTCTCCTCTTCAGCCTACAACCCACCAGAGCCCACGGGGTGAGATGCACCATGCGCAACATCGCGTCACTCTGCGTACCATTCGCGCCAAGCCAAAGTCGGACGGGTACACGACCACACTGTGGACGATACCTGCGGCGGGAAGGAAGGACTGGAAGAGTGCAAGCAAGTCAACGGCACGCATGCGGCTCCAGTCGCAGTTCATGATTGCAAAACGCTTCGTCTCTTCCCCAAGCGGGATGTCTTCTTCCTCCTCGTCTTCTTCCTCATCAACATTCGCATCGTCGTCGTCGTCACTGCTGTCTTCCGACGAAGAAGACGACGACTGGCCGCTCAATTCCCCGCGAGCTTTCTTGTTCAGGTACGCAATTCGGCGCTCCGCGGCTGTCAACGGCTTTTTGGATGCCACGGTAGCTGCTTCGTCGTCGTCATCGTCGTCTTCGCCTTCGACGTTGTAAAACTTCTTCATGTCGTTCTCTTGTTTTTCAATTCGACGCCCATACTTGTCGTACTTGCCTACATCCTGTGAGGTTCCGCACGTGACTCTGAAATTCCTGCGCCACGACGAGCATGTGCAGCTCCATGCGCAACAGACACAGTAAGAAAGGAATGCGGTGTCATGTACCCTGCACGCTCTGAAACTTCTTGTCGGTTAACACGGCTTTGAAGCGCGTGTCGAGTTGAACCTTGTTCTTCTTCTTCGAGTTTCTGGCAAACCGCTGAAGTGGACGACACGTCAGGCACACTCGTGGAAGACTATCGTTCGTTCTAGATGACCATACGTACAGGGTCGTTGTGGACTTTGTTGAAACGCGGGTCTGTCACCACGGCCGACGCCGCTTGCTTCGACGACATGATGCTCGGATCAATATGCAAGTTGAAGCGGTCGATTGATTGGTGGTTGGAAATGACTCGACCAAGTACGACGTACTTTATACGGACTTGTCCGTTTCACCTTGTGAAGGAATGAATCTGCTGCATTCATGCGGCGGCAGGCCGCTCGTCGACGGTAGACACGTGCAACTTTGTGAATAAGCGAAGTATGTGACGGATATTATCATTCAACGCGATTGCCATGACCAGACTGGACTAATCGTCGAGAGCATTGCTCATTGACGTGCACCCACGTATCTGCCTGCGTCCACAAGTACAAAGGAACGCGTTGCCAACGATCAGTTCCTCATCGGGGGACTTACATCTCACACTTGCTACGCGCAAAGCTTCACCTCGGCGTACATCCTCATGATTGGTCTCGTAAGACATGACAGCACGTGTTGTACGTTGAGCTTACATACACTTGTTGCGAGGGCAATCATAGTGCGCAAACCACTCATGCCTGTTGGTGAGAGGTACGCAATGACGATGGAAACTTAAATCTACTCCTGCATGATTTAATTATTTGAGTTGGCCAGTCCTCACGACATTGGTACATGGAAGTTCGCTGTGATGGCGAAGCGCTGACCTTTTGGGACGATTCTTCGCATGCGAGCGACCTCCTCTTGTGCTGTATCATACAACAAAGATCTATTACCAGTCCATGTCAGATCCTTACGCAGACTTCGAGACTGCCGACGCCGCCTTGGCATCGAGCGTCACAATCGCCTTCTTCCAGTCCTTTTCCTTGTACACAAATCGTCCTTGCATTGCGCGCTTGAACTTGCCTTCGTAGTTCATGGTGGCAACCTTGACGACAGGGAGGTTGTAGACCTTTTGCAAGTACTCCTTGATGTCGTGCTTGGTGTAATTGGTCTCGACGCGGAAGATGTGTTCGTTCTCCCGCAGTCTGGACTTGGGAGTCTTGGCCACGTACGTGACGGCCATGTTCGGGAAGCGGAGTCGATTCCACACCATGATGATGCCCACGGGATGAGGAAAACTGACCGCCGTCAAGTGTTTGGCGGCGCAATTCTTTCCATTCATCCAATCAAATGTCAAGAAAATCGAATCCTTTCTACCAATCATGAGGAAGCTAACGACTGGCGTCGCCCTCGGCCACGAAATGCACCAATCAGATATGCGTACGAATTTTAGCCAATGCGAATCGATATCGATTCTGACTGGCGGAGCGGATTTGCCCAACTTGACTGGAGGCTAACCCAGGAGCGCCACTTGCATAATTCATTCGAGTTCTCGCCCGCCCACTCACATTAATTACCATGGTATGTGAACCCTTCATGATGATGGAGGTGTGTCGGAAGGGGTGTGCTGTGTGAGATGGAGGAACCGCGTTACAGGATGACGTGGTCGTTGTACAGGGGTCTCATCCGGTATCGATGTGTGTGTAGGATCAACCTGTCAAGCACGCCAAGGTCATCAAAGTTTTGGGCCGCACCGGTAACACCGGTAATGTGACTCAAGTGCGCGTGGAATTCTTCGACGATTTCGGCGGCAAGGAAGCGCGCTCGTTGATCCGCAACGTCAAGGGCCCTGTCCGTGAAGGCGACATCTTGTCGTTGTTGGAATGGGAACGTGAAGCTCGCCGTTTGAGATAAGTGGTCGGCGGCTGCAGGTAGCCACAAGGTTGTGAAGCGTTTGCCGCAGCGACGACTCGAACGGATCATGGAGAATCGACCCCGTTGTCCCTCAGGGTCGTCGTAAGTGACGAACGCCAATGCCTTTGAGCCTTGAATCCTCCTTTGCACTTTGTACGGTTATTTTCCAATGAGAATATGTAAATGATGGGCACGCGAGGGTCTCGTTTCGTTTGGAGTTGTTGCCAGTCGTGCGCTGTGAAGACGAAGGAACGTGCAGCGAGAGGCTGCAACGCTTGAAGCGCTGTTGGACAGGAATTGGGAGAAGATGCAATCAAGAGTCTTAGGCACGAGGACACATGATCGCCACACTGCAATTGCATGGATTAGAACTACCGAGACTACCAATAAACACAGGTAACGTTTAGATTTCAAGCGCATTTCACCTGCTCGATCACATTCAGCATGTACATCGTGGGTGTTCAGGTCCTCAATCGTATCTCGACAAGATGACACAAATCAAGGACCTTAATGCGAGATGAAGGTACCAAAATGACGTGATAAGCACTGGATCGAGGAGGGCGTGGCTCGGTCACCACAACGGCACACAATTATGTCGAGAATGGCCATCCCTCGCGAAGGGCACGCACGGATAACCAGATGTTCACCTTTGCATTGTTCATCAGATAACGCAGTCTCGATGGCACGTGCAGTTCGCCTTACCAAGCGCATGATCTTGTTCTATTCGCGTGTACCAACTCACGATACTGTTGATCGTAACATGCACATGCAACGACAGCTACACTTTATGCACGATTCTTGCGTTGTTTGACCATACACATCCCTTCGCAGGAGGTATGGGGCTCTCGATGGCGTGCTGCCACTTCGCCGCCTCGCGTCGTCGTCTCGCATCCGGTCGACCTTTCACAGCAGACACCACTTATCTGTCTGTCGGGTGAATGGTTTTTACCCGCCAGTAACAGGTGTCGGGAGTGGTCGCCTGTGCCCCTCCTTTTGTCATTGAGGAGTGGTACGTTACGTACGGTTATACGTTTTAGCTTCCGTTTGTTATGGAAGTGCTTGCCAATACCAGTACACGGAATGTACGTACGTGAATGTTCGCCATCCTAGTGCTGGGTGGTGTGGGGCGCAGTCATTTCGCTCGCGCATTTCCAGAGAATCATGGCCGTCGAAAAAGTGGTCCGCTGGCACAAGCTTGGTCTTGGCAACTTCATCGTGCACGAACTCAAGCGCGACATGTTCCGCCCGTTTGTCTACGGCGGTATTGCCTCCTTCTTCATCTGCGGTGTCCTCCCTACCCGTGGCGCAACTGACGAAGACAAGGCCAAATCCGTCTTCTGGCAACGCGTTAACGGCAAGTTCGACTGGGCCGCGGAACACCATTAAAGATCCTCCCGTGCTCCGCACAACGTTCCTCCCATACGCAGCACAACATACTCGATCGATAAGCAACGCCCCTCTCGTCTGTTAAACGTGTTAATGGAGAGACGCGATGAAGCATCCGTCCGAGTTTGCCCATCGTACACATGTGTGCCTACATCATGCCTCGTCGTCGAACACACCATCCAACGAACAACAACTTAAACCGTGTCTAACACAGCGAGCTTGCGCACACGCGACTGCCCTTGGAACACCTCGTCGGGTACGTTGAAATGCGATGGATCAGGAACAATCGGCGGTACAATGTGGACAGGCACTTGCCACTGCAGGTGCTCCGTGGACTCGAACTCGAACGCTAGGACGTAGACGTGGCTCATGACGTCTGTTTCGATCGTCGGCGTGATGTCCACGGGCAGCGCAAATCGCATCTACGCACCCACCCATAACGTTAGGATCCCTGGTGCCGCACGAATATAGCCCTCAAACGACGCGACGGCATCCACCCATTCTTCAGGTATTTTTCGCAACTCCGAGCATCCGCAGCTCTCCACCTCATGCGCCGCACCACAACGAATCCATTTGGAAACGCCATCACACCTCCCTCCATGTTCAATCATGGTATGCAGGCTGGAATGACACACTGCACCAGCACACCACGTACATACATGCATGAAAAAAACACCGATGCACGCCCGTTGTCGACTCCACGAGCGCTTGCATCGACAGCAAGGACATTCCGACACACGGGGATATGCGCTCCATCATCATGAACAAAGTGGACGTTGCTAAGGCGATTCGTCGGACAAAGCCCACCCGTGAAAAATGCTTCATGCCCGGTAAAATGAACAATGTGAGGAGGGGGTTGTTCCTACGTGGGTGTGGAGCATGCCGGCTGTGGCTTCCATCGCTGTCTGGAGCGTGTGGGTGTTGACGACGCGGCCAGGATCCAGCGACAGAGCGCCAAGGCGCTCCTCAACGATCAGCGACGCCGAGATGCTCTTACACACTTGCGTGGCTTTTGAAAAGTCAAACGCGACGAGAACGACATCCCCTGGCATGTACGTTTGCTTGACGAAGGTGACCTGCACCAAGTGGAACGACGCTTGTCCGATCGTGAAATGCCTTGTGTGGGTGCCGCCCAGTCGTTCTAACGGGAAACGTCAGCACGTCGATACGTATGATGGAGACGAGCCCGTCAATCGATGTGGAAGACGATAGCTTTGAGAAGATTTCCCTACCAGTGTCGACACGTCCGTGCATGACTCGTGGCACGACTTCAAATGGAATCTCGTGGCCATGGCGCACTGCTACGGGGATTGCTCGCACGTCATCAGTGGGCGACATCAGACCGACCGGCGGCGGCGGCACCAGCACCACGGGGCTAGATGGAGACATTGTTGTTGCATCATTTCGCAATGGCGGTGCAAACTGAAAGGTCGACGAGGTGACTCCAGCGTAAATGTCAAACGGAAGATGCAGCGTTTGTATCTTCTGGGTTCCTTGCACCTTGAACGTGAACGAGAGGACGTAAAAGACGCGTGCCGAAGTGCCTATCAGTGCAGGAAGAGCGTTAAGGAGCACGAAGCAGTTGAGGGTACACGGCAGAAAAACAATAAGACGCACGCACCCTTGAACGACGGACACATTTTCGCTGGCAATCCGGTGGCGAAGTGTGACGTCGTCGAGCGCTCGACGTCGATCTCAGAGTACAAGACGGTGGGTTTGCCCTGGTAAATGCAAATGCCAGTGGGACCCGAAAACGTCTTGACGTCGGGAAGGTTCAATGACTTCATGAACGACTCGTCCATGGCTGTGACGGGCATGATAGGGATGGTGAGGACGTCCGAGTCCACGCATAGATGTCCATGCACTTGCACGACGCCCCACTCGATGTACAGTTTTCTCGGGGACTCGATCTTCACGTACCCACGGACGGCTCCGCCCGCATGGAAGTGCCCGCATGTGAGCCGCGCTTCAACATGGACGGATTCGCCCATCCGTCGGCGCTTTTTGAAATGTCCTCCTTCCATGCATTGATTGGATGAAATTCGAAATTCTTTTTAGCCAATCATCAACACGAATATCTGACTAATAACCGTCCATGGTAACCGCATTGAGCAAGGACGACATGGGTGGGCCGCGACGATGGATCCTGTAGTCGAAGCAAGCGCGTTTATTGCCCATCGATGGCACAAACCGACAGAGTCGAGGACGTCCACCGCCACAGCGTCGCTGCAAGGCGCCACCCACGTGTTAGATTTCCACAATTCCAAGAGAGACAAGCACATGAATCCCTACGACACTCGCGCGCTTCGATCGCATCCCAAGCCACCACAACGGTGCACATCATCCCCAAACGACGGTGACACGCTGTTTGCGTACCAGCCACTGTTTTGTGACGAATTCATGGATGCCCAAGGAGTCTTGTTTTCAATGTCCAAGACACCACGCGAGCGCTCACCCGTCGCAGCAGTCCCCAAGGCATCGCGAAAGCGACCGCAGTCCGCCACAGTCAAGCGCGTAACGAGCCCACCCGTCGCCATGAAAAATGTCATAAGTACTGCCCGGTTGCTGGATGAACCGACCGACGACCCCGTTGCGACAATGATCTATCGAAGCCCTGGCTTCAAGCAAAGGTCGTTGCAAGCACTCGAAGCAGAAACATATAGGCTGCTGGACCACACAAGATCAGTTGTCGCATGGGAGTCGGTCCGGGCGCCTTGCGGTCCTGCACTGTCGGTTGTGCGAATGCGGAACGATGGCAATGACCGCGGAATTTCGACCACGGGTCGCCATCGGTAAGTAGCCGCAGATGCTGTACCAAGCGAGAACGATCGCGCACCACTGCCCTTCTCGGCTCTTGTAAACTTTGCATTGACTAAAACACTGAAGCATTGTAGGCCTTCGCTGCAGGAAGTCGACCGAGCATGCCACTGCATCTACAAGTTTGTGTGTCGGCAATACCTACGCCGCAAACGCGATCGGTTCGTGCGGGCGTTGCAAGCGAGCCACCCTGACGTCCGCGAATTCTCGGACGGCGTCATCGTTGCATGCAGAATGTTCTCTTGCACGAAACAAGCAAAACGTTCATCTCATAGAGCCCACATGGCCGTCGAGTCGTCCTTGGAAGCTTGGCCCTCGAACCAAGCTTCAAAGCACTCAAACAAGCCAGCCAAGAAAGGCTGCGCCAGCGGTTGTTCGTCGTCGAAATCCAACCCCCCCGAGACCATGCACGGGAAAGACGACCAGATCGACGCTGGGTCCAGCAATAGAATCCCTCCAAAGCGTCGAAAAGGGACCGAAACGACGTCGGCGCGCTGTACCCTGGCGAGAAGCGACCCACTCAGGAAGCTTCGATGCCATGTCGTCCGAGTCAAGGCTGCTAGGCGTGCAGATGCCACATCGACAAGTCAATCCGTGCGATCCACCACCGTACGCCACGGTGCCGACGACGACGATGCT